CAAGCACCCAAATAGTACTTAATAAATAGGAGTTCTTATTTAGTAGGTGCAGTAGTAGGTGCTCAGTAAATATGTGTTGACGAATGAATGAATGAACCAGTTTGATGACGGATAGGAGAAAAGTGGCACCATTCCTGGATCCCTTCCTCTTGTATGCAAATGAAGGAAATCTCCTCTTCGATGTTTATTGTCCCAGGCACTGACTGTGACTCTGGTAGGCTGAGTTTTGTCTGTTCTGTGATGCAGGTCTGTTCTGTTCCTTCACTTCTCTTTCTCCCTCTGCTTGCCAAGACTGTATCCATCCTTCCTGGGGATGCAACTCTCACTTCCTTCAGAGTGTTACACAGCTCACAGTTTTACATGGAACCTAAAGTATTACACCGCCCTAGGCGGGGGGCGGGGGGGCTGTTGTCCCTGAAAGAGTAGGGGTTCTGTCGTGTTCTCCCCATCATGCTATGTCTTTAGCTGTCCTCGTGGCAAAGCCATTTTGGGGTGGATTGGGGCACCACAGAAGAAGGCCCCCATGCTTTCTGGAGCCTCGACTTGGGACAGAGCCTGTAGAATAACCAACTCTGTCCAGCCCGGATGCATCACATTCCTCACTGCCCTTCTTTTTTTTTTTTATTTTTTATTTTTTTTATTTTGTCAATATACACTGTATATGATTATTATGGCCCATCACCGACACCTCCCTCCCTCCTCCCTCTCTCCCCTCCCCCGCAAGAATGTCCTTTCCATTTGCTTGTTGTAACAACTTCATAAAAGTATAGTTGTTATATCTTCTTCCCCACCCCACCCCACCCGGTTTTTTTTTTGTGTGTGTGTGTGTGTGTGTGTGTGTGTGTATGTGGGTGAATTAGTTTGTTTGTTTTTCTTTTTTCTTTTTTTTTTTTTCGCTCCCACCAATGAGTGAGAACATGTGGAATTTCTTTTTCTCTGTCTGACTCGTTTCACTCAATATTATTCTCTCAAGGTCCATCCATGTTGTTGCAAATGGCAGTATCTCATTAGTTTTTATAGCTGAGTAGTATTCCATTGTGTAGATATACCACATTTTCCATATCCACTCATCCGATGATGGACATTTGGGTTGAAGGTATACTTGTTTCCCAATGTTCATTGCAGCACTCTTCACAATAGCCTCACTGCCCTTCTTCCCTCCCCATTTCCACCTTCCCCTCTCCCCTCTCACACTTTCAAGACCAAAGCACTCAGCCAAAGCTGGCTGGGTTTGCTCATGAGCAAATACAACCTTGTTGGAAGGAGCTGGGCAGACCACAAAAATGAGGAAGTCCCAGATGGTAGGAGGGGGTGTTGCTTTGCCTCCCACAGATCTGTCACCCCTTTCCCCCTGGGTGAAAGAGCTGCCAAAGATTACTCAAGGCCCATCTCTCTGAGCAGTGAGAAACCCTGAAAAGGGGTTAATCTCCCGGAACCCTCAAGATAGAGGCATTCCTTCCATTTGGGAAATTAACCACAAATTGGGGTTCTCTTCCCACATTTATTCTCCAGACCAGGTAGTTACAGCAACGGAACATAGGTGGGGTTTTTGCTAAGTATAGTTTAACAAGTTTAACAATAGAAGCTGGTAACATTCAGTAAAACAAGCAAGGTGACATTCCATAATGCAACTTTCAAGAAGTTAAGTTTTTTTTGTTTTTTTGTTTAGATGACCAGTAAGGGGATCTTAACCCTTGACTTGGTGTTGTCAGCACTATGCTCACCTGGTGGCCATCCCTATATGGGATCCGAACCCATGGCCTTGGTATTATCAGCACCACACTCTCCCAAGTGAGCCACAGGCCAGCCCTCAAGAAGTTAAGTTGATCCACCAACAAAAGCTTGATCTTAGCAAACATTCTCTTCTTACAGCAATTTCCCAGTATCTTTACATATCAGTCAGTAACCTGTCTGTCTTTGAGCCAGCAACCTTGCTGTGTTACAATTCTTTATCTTACAACAGAGACTATAGCCTGGGGAAAATTTCCTGTCCTTTGCAAGGTTAATATTTGAAACTGCAAGGCTTTGGAAAACCAGGTCCTGTGAAGTACATTTATTTTATGTACACTCCACAGGGGGAGCCATCTACCTTCTTTTCTACCTACTTTGGACACAGACTGTAGCAATGATGACCACCCCTTACATGGTGCACTGGCATCACCACATGCATTGAACATTGCCACGATCACAGAGTCCGTCCAACTACCCCCGAAGAAGGCATGTGAGTGAGAGAGACAGGCTGTGGGCCAGCACAGAGGGCAGGTGTGTGACAAGGGCATTAGATATTTGTAAGCTCCCCAAGCGATTCCAACATGCAGCCAAAGTTGAGAATACTGCGCTAGACCCATCTTTCTTCCTCAGAGTGTTATCTGGTCCCCTGGCCTCTGTCAAGAACTCACACTCAGTTTTCCTGACATACCTGGGAAAATGAGGTAGGGATCCCAATGAGGATGATGGTGAGCTTTGGGCTCCCCACCAGGCAGTGGCTACTGGGACCCAGTCACAGAATTGCTGACTGCATCGTCCAGAAGGGCGTCAGTACAGCATTTCCAATATATTTTGCATTGGTCATTAAACCTTTCCTCAATGTCTCCTCCCCATATCCCCAGTTGTAATAGTCAATACATTCAACATTCACTCAACAAACAATTATTTATTAAGTGATTACTGTGTGCTGGGTGCTGGGGAACATCCCTTGAAAGTTGACAGACCTGTGGGTAAGAGTGTGAAGTGTGATGGGTGCACGCTGGCAATGTTCTCTCAACTCCTGTTTAATTGGGTGGCTGCAGACCCTTCAAGGTGGTCCGTCCGTTCACTCATGCACCTGTGCATGGGTTCACTGAGTGCTTGTATCTTGTCTGTTCCATGAAAAGTGAGGGAACAGATGAGCTCAGTCTCTGGCTTGCAGGAGAATGGGAGGATTTGAAGATAGCATGAGCACTCACATAATTTCTCCAAGGGAGAAAGTGAACACATCAAGGAAGAGTTGCAGACTAAGGTGGCAGATTTAGAAGACTGGCTCTAATTGTGTTTCTGAAGTGGAGGGTGTGGAGGATGCTTCCTGGAGGAAAAGAGCTACTGGGAAGGATTTGAATAAAGGCAGTCTCAGTGTCTCCTGTCTCCTTAACACCTTCCCTTCCCTACTCCCCAGGCTTCCTCTGACACATGGGAATTCATAATGTCTAAAAAAACCTAAAGATTTCTTTTCCCAGGAGTCTGAAAGGAGCCTTCCAGTCTTGTTCTACAGTCTTGAATAATGGTGGTCAGCACCTCTTAGGCAAGCACCTCTGGTCAAGGACAGCCGCTAACTCTGCAGCCTGGGGTTTGAGGCATTGGTGTGCTGGAAATTGAATAACAACTTGTTCCCCAGGGGGAAAAGTCTTGATTTGCAGTGTTTGCCAATTTCTGTGGTGTAAATACTCCCATTATGGCTGATTTCAAGCTGAAATGCCACTGAACACAGAATTGGAAAGTGATGCCCCCAATCTGCTCTTGAGAGCCAGTGCCAGCCTGTCCCAGCACACTATTGGATTAGGGTTATCTCCGAGCTTTTATTTTACAGTTAAAAGTTTTATATGAGGGACCTTGAGGGCAGATATAAGACCACTAGGTGGAAGCTTGAAGGAGGCACATTTTGGCTTTCTGAGATCTGAGTTGCAAGTCCTGCTGTGTGCTAGTTTGCTCCTGTCACCCCACTGCCAGACCCTCTCAGTCTTTGCTCTTCTCTCCCTGCTGGGAGGCTGACTTTTGCGACTGACTTCCCAGGCTTCCGTGCCATCTCGCTTTTGGTTGGGTTGGCTGACGGGAGACACCAGTGAGAGACCGGAGGGTGGGAGAGGAAAGGGTTTGGGACATTTCTTCTGTTTTTGCCCTGTTCCAGCATCACTCCTCTGTCAATAACTGTGTCCCCCATAAATAAAGCTTCCACCAGGCTCCAGAAACACTATCTCTCCCCTTGCTCCTTCAGCCTAGGATTGATGGGCTGATGGGTTTCCTGCTGTTGCTACTCTCTGGATGCCACATCATACCTTGTTTGTGGCCTTAACTCTGCCCACTATGAAAGGAACTCTGCATCCAAATCTCTTCATCTGAAGCATTTGCAGTGAATTTTGTTTCTACTGGAACCCTGACTGATACAACTCAATACTGGAAGGAGAAGCAACAGACTCTCTCCAGGCAAGATGGGACCTGGGTCAAGCTTGTTCTTCAACAGAACCCTAGGATGTGGAGCTGAGAGCTGCTACTGCCTTGCTGTGCAACTTTGGATATTTCCCTGCCCCTCTGTGAGTCTAAGTGGCTCCATCTATCCAGGAGGGATTGGATTTGATGAGCTCTCCTCATCACCCTGAAAGTAATATATGTTCCTAAGTGTCAAGTTTATTTTATGGCTTTAGGAGTGGAGTTGGACCTTTTCTGACTCAAAATCTCCCTTCTGGGGTTAGAACTTTGTCCCTGAAGGTGCCTCACACACAAAAAAGACTCGAAGAGTCAAGAGCCTTGCATATGTGCAAGCCCTCCCAAGGGGAAAGTGGAAGGGGACAGTGGCAGCTTTTTGTAAGAAAGCATAGGCAAGCTGAGCCTCAGTTCTATTATCTGGGAAATGGGTATAAAGAGCAAGTACCTGTGACCTCTTTGTTCTTTGGGTTAAATAAGATAGCATGTAAAAAAGTGCCTGAAACATATACAGTGCTTATATGAAAGGGCAGTTGTTATTATGCCGATGATTACACCAAGAATTGTGAATTGCCATCTGTTTGCTCCTCCAAGGAACCAAGGGGGAATGCCCATTGTCTGGTTTCTTTGAAGCATACTGCCTGGTCTCTCTTCAGCAGAGTTCTGGGAGAAGTCAACCAGGCTCTTTTTTCTGTTGCCTATGACTTTTAGAATTGCTGTCTCCACCCTATGGCGCTCAGCCCAGCCTGGGCTGCTGCTGGTTGCAGGGCGTGTCTGGGAGTGGGTCCAGATACAAAGGAACCCAGGGGCAGCTGGAGGTGGGTCAGAGCCTGGTGGCTGAAACTCTAGCCATGGTGCCTGCCCTCCTCTCCCCGATCCTCTCCCGCCTGGGCCTGTGGGCTTCTGGACTGATCTTGGTCTTAGGCTTCCTGAAGCTCAGCTGCCTCCTACTGCGGAGGCAGAAGTTGGCCAGGGCCATGGACAGCTTCCCAGGACCCCCCACCCACTGGCTCTTCGGGCATGCTCTCGAGGTACGTGGGGGAGAAGGTGGGGTGGAGAAAGAAAAAATAGCCTCCTTCCTTTAGAGAATCAGGCCCAATACCCTGGGGACTGTGGGGAGAGACTGAAACTTGGCACAGGTGTGATGTCTGGGGAGCCATGGTTCCTGTTCAGCTTTTCCCCCCGATCTCTCCCTCATTCCTGCCTTTGAAGCTGGCTTCAGAAGCAGGAGGGGTTTCAAAGCTGGGGGACCAAGTGGACTACAGAATCCTTGCCATTATTCTGAGTCTCAAAGTCCAGACAAGGCTCTGCTGAAGGCTGGGTGACGGCATAGGAGAAAAACCAAAGTCCCTGGAGAGCCTGATAGAACCAGACAATCATGTACAGCTTAATCAGTATCTTCTTCGTTCTGCACAGTTTAAAGATTTCCATTTCTAAAGCAGAAAATGAAAGTGGCAGTAGAGATGAATGCTGTCACATAAGAGGCATTCCAGAGCATCCAAGCAGTTGGTGCCCCCAGAGGTGGGGCTCTTCCTGCCATGCCTATGGATGGCTCAGTAGCTGTGACATCTTCCTGGGTTCAGATCCTGGCTTGTTCTCTGGTTGCCTCAGGGTGGTGGGGACCACCCTAGCACTCACTCTCAGGAAAATCTTAGTCCCCTACTGTCATGTGGATAGACAAGAGGTTTCTAAACACAGGACAGGGAATTGTAATCAACTGGGAGAAGCAGATTCCTGGGCCTCCAGCCCTTGGAGATTCTAATATGTCAGATTGAGAGTAGGAGTCTGAATTTAAAAACCTTCCCAAGTGTTTTGATCTGCAGCCAGGTTTGGAAACCCAGCTATAGATGCCAGAGATTAAGGCTCAGAGAGAGACATAGTTCCTTCTCCCACCTCCTGAATCCATTTTCCTCATTCTCAGTCTGGGTGGTTGCCTTTCTTCCTGACTGACACTGGAAATGAGCTTGACCTCTAGGCTTATTCCTGCCCCTACAGATGACCCTTTTTAGATGGCTTAGTAATCTGCATGTATCCTGGGACATCTGGGAAAGGAAAGTGTGGGTCAGGCAAATGCATCAGAACCAGGACTGGGCTGTCAAGGAGCTTTCTGTCTGGAGGGGAGATAGACATCAGCACCTTCCCTGCTCCAAGCTGGGAGAGGTACCTCCCTGGGATTTCGCACCAGCCCCGTTCTTTTTTCTCAGTGCTTGTCTTGTTGGGTTGTCATCTTCTATTTACTTGCTCATCTTTCCCACTAGACTGTGACCCCTGGAGGATGGAGATCTGGTCTGATTCATACCTGTACCCGCAAGGTCCAGTGCCAAGCCTGGCACAGAATAGGCATCACCGAATGAACCAACAGTGAATGTTGGAGAGGAGGGGGTGGGTATTTACAGAGGAGAGAGAGTGACAGAGAAGAAAAGCCGAGGGACCAGGAGGGTTTGGGAAAGGCTTTGCTAAGTACCAGAGGAGGCTCATGGGAAAGTTGAAGTCTGACCCTAATGGGGCATGAGAGGCATTTAGAGAGACATTCATCCCTTTCCTCTCATGCCCCCTCCACTTCTACATGTTTCTATCAAAGTTGGGTTTGCCCTCAGCCAGTGGGCTTCCCTAGGACAGGGACCTTTCTCCCCCATCCCCATGTCAGAGATGGCTGCTGTATTCCCCCCAACTGTTCCTGCCCCCACCTTGAGAGTGTGCAGAGGGCCCGGAACATAGCCTAGGTCTGGCTTCTTGGCTCTAACTATCTGAAGGGCTTTTGCTTGGCACCCAGTAGTGTGGGGAAGGGTTGGAGGGGTGGTGGCTCTTGGGCACTACAAAGGTTTCCTGGGAAGCATCACAGGCACAGCACTTCTGCATTCCTCCAGAGCTTGGCACCTCTTCTCTTGTTTGTATCCACACCTGAACCTGAGAAATGGGGAGGGCATAGTGGGGATTATTTTCTCTAATGTAAAGATGAGGAAACAGGTTCAGAGGAGGCAAGGTATTTGCCTAAGTCAGGAATTGAGTCAAGGCTGGGTCCAGGGATTCCTGCATTTTAATTCAGGACATGATCAGTCCATAAAAGGTAACTGCAAATTTGATTCCTAGGCCCAGCACTGGTGGCAGTAGAAAGGAAAGAAAGACTGGTGGGTGAAGGCATGGGGGCACAGAAGAGCTGACCATCAAGATTAATGTCTCTCTTCTTGGTCTCTAGTTACAACCTGGAGGCATTAGTAGCATCCACCTGCATCTTCCTTAGTTCTCAGAATGTGTCCCCTTGAGGCAAGGGCATGTCCTTTTCTTCTAGCACAGAGAGGACTTTGCACATACTAGGTGCTCAGCTATATATTGTTGGCCTGAGGTTGGGACTGCCTGGGAGGGGCCAACAAATCTGACCTGTGAGTGTGTGTGTGTGTACAGGGGAGAATGCCAGCTCCCAGCCCAAGGAGCCGTGACTCCCTGAGACTACAGAGGCCTCTTTCCCAGCCCTGCCCATTGCTGTGATATCCCGTTGACTTTGTATAGTGAAGACAGGGCTGTGGCTCATCTTCACTCAGCAAACATTTATCACGGGCCTTTTCTGTGCCCTGTTAGGTGAGTCACTTCACCTTTCTGTGTTTCTGTTTCCTTATCAATAAAATGGAGATAATCATCCTTACCCTGCTGGATTAGGAGAGGATAGAAAATGGTAAAGTACAGGTACTTTCAAACTGCTGGGCAGATAAATATCAGGTGTTAGATTATTGTAGAAGGATTCTTGCTGCATAACACCCTGAGGCATTTGCTTCCTTCATCCTCTTTCTTTCTCCCAAATCAAACCAGTCTTTGGTTCCTCTTTTCCCAAGCAACGAGCATTGTCTGATCAAAACTCCAGGTCTGGCCCTATGCTGAGGCCAGAGGATGAAGAAACAAGTCAAAGAGGCTGCTCTAGAGGAACCAGGTCTTTAGGAGAGATGGACAGCACAGCACAAGTGCTACAGATCCTGGGCCTAGAGAATGGCCTCCCATCAGCCTGAGGAGTCAGGGAAGGTCCAGGGAAGTGATGCTGAGACAAATCCTCAAGGAGCTGGAAGTAGTAGCCTGTGCAAGTACAGAAGGAAAGGCAGAGGACACTCCCTGTGCAAAAAGGGAGAGGCTAGAAAGAACATTGTGTGTTTAGGAAATGGAATTATCATTTGAGGTCTAGAATCTGCCTGTGTAAGTAGCTCAGCACTTCTGGAGTGGCGAGAGGGAGGACAGAATGGAGGGTGAGGCTGGAGGTGGGCAGGGGCAGGTCACCTAGATCCTTGAGGCCATGTCAAAAGGCCTTGCCTTACTGTATTCTGAGGACAATGGGGAGCCATGGAAGGGACTCAAGCAAGGGAGGGACAAAGTCAGACTTGTGTTTTAGAAAGATCACTTTGACTTTGAGGCAGTGAATAGATCAGCTGAGGGCCAATAGGAGGCAGGGAGACGAGGGTGAAGTGATCCAGGCAGGTGTTAAAGAGAAAGCTGGTGGGATGGAGAGGAGTGAGAGGTAGAGCAGGCTGGGCCACCAGACCCCTCACACGCAGGTCTATGAGCTAGGTAACCAGCAAACAGGTCCTTGGAAGACATAGGTTGGAAAAGCATGGCTGTGTGGGTGGTGGCGGCCACCCGAGGCAGATGCCAGCCAGACTGCGGTGCCAACTCCACCCACCCACTTACCTACACACACACAATTTGTTTACTGAACCACCCCCAACTGGCCCCGAGGTGACAGGGCCTGATTAAACTGCTCTATTCTCCCAACACTATGTGTAATTTTAAAATGTGGGCATCTGAGACCCAGTAAGAGGAGGCTCAGAGGTTGGCAGCACCTGTCAGTGTCTGGGCATGGGAGCCGTGGGTACTGGATTTGGAGAGTTTCATGGTGGGGTTCTCCTCCTGTGAGCTGGTACATGTGGCTCTCTTAACTCTGGTTTGCTGATTCCAATGTAAAAGTCACTTGGCGGGCCTGCAGCGGGGAGGGGCAGCCCCCCCAGTATGTCCCCCTTGGTATCGCTATAAACCATGGAGAAAACTACTTCCATGTATGGGTGCTAGTATGGGGGTGGATGTGGTGGTTCTATTCCTAGGTATGTGAGGCGGGCAGTTTTGGGGGCAAACCCGATGTGTAGACATGTGTGCATGAACGTGAGTTTGGAAATGTTGGGTCTAAGGGGCCTGAAGGAGATCATGCAGAGATGTCAGTGGCGGAGTCGGGTGGGGTTTGCTGATGTTTCTGGACCTCAGGAGAAAGATAAGCTGGGACACACTGTGGATTGAGGAATCACTGGCAGGAAGATGGCAAAGGGAGCCACAGAGTAGGTGAAAGCCTCCAGGGAGAGAATGCAGCTAGGGAAGAGGCCACGGAGGGGATTTGGAGGAGCATCACCTCAGGCACTAGGCACCTTAGTGAGAGAAGAACTGGACTGAGATCAGTGGCTGGGCCGAGGAATGTTCAGGAGAGGGGGTGCAGGAGGAGGGAGGGAAGTCCCAGGGCCTGCCTGGCCAGCCTCCTCCCTTCCACTCCCAGGGTCTTGAGGTTGGCTGGTGACGCTGGGTTCCTGAGTGGCCCTGGCCTTCTGTCATCATTTCAGATGCAGCAGACAGGGAGCCTGGATAAAGTGGTGTCCTGGGCCCACCAGTTTCCCTATGCCCACCCACTCTGGTTTGGACAGTTGCTCGGCTTCCTAAACATCTATGAGCCCGACTATGCCAAAGCTGTGTACAGCCGTGGAGGTGAGGTGCTCCTGGAAAAGGCTGGGGCTTCCTGGGAGCAGAGGGCTCAGGGCACAATGTGGGGAGGAGCCCTGGGCCTGTGCTTTAAGTCTGGGAAGAGGGTGGCTGAGGTCCTCACACTATTCATCAATAAGCCTTCTCTGGGAACCTCCCGTCTCCACTCTACCCTATCTTCTCTTTCTTCTGCAGACCCTAAGGCCCCGGATGTGTATAACTTCTTCCTCCAGTGGATCGGTGAGTGAACGCTTGCCTTTCCCGCCCTTCCCACCCCAGACCCTTGGACCTGGGTGACCAGGATCCTGCCCTTCCCCTTCCAGTCAATTATTTCATCAACTGGACAGCCTGGCCCCAGGTGCCCATCCTAAGCTTGGCTGTTCAGTGGGGAGACAGAGGAGGAGCAGGAGAGCTCCTAGCTGGCTGGGGAAGTGGCACCCAAGCACCTTCTCTTGCCTGGCCTGTGTTCTTGCCTGGACTGGCAGGACAAGGACTCTGAAGAATGAGTGTGAAGAATGGCTTCCTGGAGGAGGTGGCACTAGAGTTTATCCCACAGAAGACTTTTATAGGCAGTGTAGTCCAGGACGAGGGTCTGAGGAAAGGATAGGACCATGGCTGGTGTTACCAGAGGCGGCAAGGCTGTCTGGGCGCCTGGAAGGCACAGTGTGGTTGGGAGATGAGACTGGGCAGGAAGGACTGGACTGTCAGAATGAGGAGTGTGGTTTGATGTTTAGGATAGGTGGGAGCCATTGAGTATTCTTGAGCCAAGGCCATATGCTTCTCCAAAGCCTGTCTGTTACTCATGATCCCATGGAATCCTCACCATCTTCCTAGGAGCTGAGAAGGGGCAGGGCCAAGAGGAAAAAAAAAAAAAAAAAAAAAAAATCCCAAGCCTATTCACTCACCCAATAACAGGGAAATCTTTTTGTGATTCTAACTCTATCTTCAATTATCAAATGGAGAGTAAGATGAAAGGACAGACAGAAAAGGTTTAGGAATACGAAGAGGCAGTTTTGAAGACACTAATGCATTTTAACTCAGGGTTTGTGGGTGTGTTTGGGGGTGGGGAGTAGGAGGATAGGGTCCTGTCTGAGGCCATGAGGTGCAAGCACAGCAGATTGTTCCCCAGGTCCTGAAGCTATGGCCTCAGTCTCAGCAGCTGAGAGTCAAGGCCCAGCTGGCTTCCCTTCTGCCTGGCTGTCCCCAGGGAGATGCATCTCCTTTGTCTGAGCCCAGTGTCATCCTGACATAAGTCCCTGGAGCCCAGGCTTTATGGGTACAGCTGAGATGCAAAAACTGAGTCGTTTTGTCCTGAGGAGGGAGCTCACTCAGCCAAGAACTGCTGCCACCTCTGGTTCCTGAGGCCCTGGCAGCCTGGGGGTGAGGGCACAGAGGGTAATGCTGGGTCTCTTAGTGGCCCACCCCTGGAGGGTTCCAGGCTCAGGGATAGAGTGGGGTGGGGCGTGCGTGGCCCCAGGATGCTGGGGCTGGTGTGATATTGCCTGGACTGACCAATCCTCCCTCTCTCATGCCTTCCCCAGGGAAAGGCCTGCTGGTTCTGGAGGGGTCCAAGTGGTTTCAGCACCGCAAGCTGCTCACACCTGGCTTCCATTATGATGTGCTGAAGCCCTATGTGGCTGTGTTTGCTGACTCCACGCGCGTCATGCTGGTGAGCTACCTGCGCCAGGCTCCTGCAGGCTGTCGGCTGCTGGGTCAGCCCCTCCCCATCCTGATTTTGCCCTGGGGGAGGATTGATGAGGCCCCTAGGCTCCATTCTGAGTGCAATAGCAGTATCAAAGTGCCGCTCTGCTGACACCTGTGCACGCCACAGATGCACACCCACAGCTGCTTCATGCCACAGCTGCAAATCCATACCTGCTGCGTGCCATGGCTGCAAGTCCACACTTGCTGCATGCCACCGCTGACTAGGTGTTGAAGCTCTGGGTGCCCAGGCAGCCCTGGGCCTCGTCCACCAGGAGACCCAGCCCTCTTTCTTCTGCGAACAAAAGCTCTGTGAGGCCTTAATAAGGCTCCTCCTGTAGCAGATTTGAGGGCTGCCTATATTTAAGTGTATCAGGAAAGCCTCTCATATCCAGGAAGTGTCTCCTCCTTATTTTCTGCCTACCACGAGTGCCTAAAATAATGTCGCTACAACTCATCTCTATCAGGCATGTCAGGGATCAGTCTGAGAGTCTCAGGACTGGGTAATCCCAAACGTCACCCAGGCTCATCTTTCTCCTTGCAGGAAGCTCCTCCCAGAATTACTGCAGGCCTGGTTTACACACAGGCTGTGCTGGGCTCACCATCTCTTGGCCCTTCTGTTCCCTTATAAGGTGCCCTGACTATGTGCTGCTCAAGATCTGTTGCCTGGTCTTGCCTTCTGAGCCTGAAGCCAAGAGGCTGCCAAACTCCTACTGCCCCACCCTCACATTCCAGAAGGATAGAGGGCAGGGAGGCACTGGGATTGTGTGTGTGAAGGGGGCTTGGTGGCAGAGGACAGGTTATAGGTCTTGGAGGGCAGGGTAGAGGGGCATCCAGCCCAGCTGGCCCCCACATTGCCTCCTTTCTCTGGGCTCTAGGACAAGTGGGAAGAAAAGGCTCGTGAGGGTAAGTCCTTTGACATCTTCTGCGATGTGGGCCGCATGGCACTGGACTCACTCATGAAGTGCACCTTTGGGAGAGGAGAGAGCGGCCTGGACGACAGGTCAGGAGGCACCTCAGGGCTGACCACATTCTCTTCCTAAGACAGCTTGGAGGGGAGAGTTGGCAGGGCTCCTAGGCCCTGGTATGTGACAATATAGGGTCCTGTCCTAGGGAGCCCCAGCTCAGGGGGAGCCAGGCCTTGCTCATGGTGGGGAGACATCTCTGACTCTAGTGAGGGGGCTTAAGGACAGGAAGAGGAAGGGCAGGAAGAACCGTGGTCGGGTTGGATCCTGCAAGGGTGCTGCTCTGGGCTCTGTTCTTGGGTCAGTGTCTGAGCTGCCCTTCCCACCACCCTCGGCTAAGCAGGGACAGCAGCTACTACCTGGCAGTCAGAGATCTCACTCTGCTGATGCAGCAGCGCCTTGAATCCTTCCAGTACCATAACGACTTCATCTACTGGCTCACCCCACATGGCCGCCGCTTCCTGCAGGCCTGCCAAGTGGCCCACAACCATACAGGTGGGCCATTCCTTCAGGGCCCACCCCTAGGAAGTCTGGGTTCCTCCTCCCAGCCCCTCTGCACTCCCTCCCATTGCAGGACCTCAGTTCCCCTTTGGGCAGAGGGTGGGTTCCCAGGCAGCGACACCCTGTCCTTCTGAGCCAGACCAGGTCATCAGGGAGCGGAAGGCAGCCCTGCAGGATGAGAAAGAGCAGAAGAAGATCCAGAACCGGAGACACCTGGACTTCCTGGACATTCTCCTGTGTGCTCAGGTGAGTGCGCAGCTGCCCACCCCTACCTGAGAACTAGTCCCAGAGCGGTCTTCAGACTGCCCTCCTAGGACAGAGCTCATTGGACAGCAGAAGGAGATGGTAAGCATTTCCCCCTCTTTACCCAGCAAATATAACTTGTTTCTTGTCCCATGACACATATCAGTGAAGGTTCAGAGGTGGGCAGGTACAAGGTGTGTGTGTAGCTGGATTGTGGCATCAAAGAGATGTAGTTGGGAGCCCAAGTCACATGGTAGTGGTCTGAAGACATTTCTAGACTTATCAGATCCCTAAGAATCTTGGTACCATAGGATCTTAGACTTCATTAATTCATCAATTAATTCATTCAGTTGGTCCTTTATTCATTCACACCACAGACTCACTGAGCTTCTCCCCTGGCTTAGTTCCTGTGCTAGGATTCAGAGATGGGCAAGACCTGGCCCTGCCCTCCAGACATTTACAGTTTAGTGGAGGAGACAGTAGATGGATGCTGATAAAGATGCTTTCCTCTGCCAGGTGACATTCCATGTGCCAAGCGAGCAGAGCTGACAGTCAGGGCTGGATAAGGTCACAGGTCACTTGGCCAGAGAGATCAGGGAGGGCTTCGTGGAGCAGGAGGTATCTAGGCTGGGCTTGGAAGAAAGAGAAATTTGGGAAAGGTCTCAATCCCAGCCTGAAAAGGAGCTTTCACCTCCTCTCTCAGCCCTACATTTGACAACTATTGACAGCTAGTGTTAGGAGTTCTCAGTACCTACTTTGGATGCCTTGAGCTGTCTCATTATACCTTCTCTAACCCAGGATGAAAATGGGGTCAAGCTGTCAGATGCAGACCTCCGGGCTGAAGTGGACACGTTCATGTTTGAAGGCCATGACACCACTACCAGTGGCATCTCCTGGTTTCTCTACTGCATGGCCCTGTACCCTGAGCATCAGCGTCGCTGTAGGGAGGAGGCCTGCGAGATCCTAGGGGACCGGGACTCCTTCCAGTGGTGAGTCAGGCTAAGGGTGAGCCCAGCCTATCCCACTCAGCCCCAGGGAAGAGCTGTGCCCAGCCTGTCCTGTGCCATCGAAGGACAACACAGGGCCATCCTGGAAACTAGGTGAGGGCAGCACGGCTGTCCTGTTCCCTCCAGTGCTGTAGGTTTTTTGGGTGACTGAGTATGGATGTACCCTTGAGCCCATTCTCCCAAAATGGAGCCTTTTCAGATGTGTCACACAGAGACAGTTGTCAATAGGAGGCTGACTTTCTATGTGCTGACTCCCTCTGATGGCAGAACCTGACTACCCTTCTGTGTTCCTGGAGAGAGTAGGCAGGGCTGGGAGAGAAGGTAGAAACGGGGGATGAACAGAGCCTGGACACCCAGTCCCTGGCCACCTGCCTTTGGGTGGCAGTATGTAGCCTCCAGATTCCACGTATCTCCCTCTGGTGAAGGAGAAAAGACTATTTCCCAAACTCCACCACTTAAGAACTTTCAATTGTTCCTCCCTGTTTCTTGGCCGGGACTGAATTTCTGGACACGGCACAAATTGACCCCGACCCCTCTTTATAGCATGATCTCTGGGAATCTCTCACAGGCTTCCCTGCCCCACTGCCCACATGTCCCTCTCCCAGCTCCTCCTCCCTTCCAGCCTTTGATCCCAACAGGCACCTCACTTTCTCTCTGGGATTCTGGGCTGTTCCAGCACAGGGCTAGGCATGCACCAGAGGCACAGAAAATGCTCAGTCGATGGGGGAAATTTAGATGCATTTGAGGAGGACTGACCTGTAAATCCAGGGACTGAGACTTGGAGGATGAAGTCTCCATTGCCCATTTTTATTGGTTGGATGTTGGAGACCTCCCAGCGTGTTCAGCCACAGGCCAGATGCTAACAGGGGTGCAGATGGGAAGAGGAGGAGGAGGAGCCAAGTTGCTGCCCTTGGAGAGTCTTTAGAGAAACAAACTTACATAATCAAAAAGCTAGAGAAAACCACAGGGTTGAGTGGCCTGGATATTGAGGGCAGAGGGAAGGGGTGGGGCTTGCATTGACTTTTTAAGGAGGGTTAAACTTCGGCAAAGAAAGAGAGCTGCGCATTCTTGGCTGGGTAACAATATGAACACAGCCTGAGGCAGGAAGCTGAAATATTTATTTTATTTTCACTTCATTCCATCTGGAACTTGATGCAACTTAGTGACACATTCAATAAAATAGTAAAACACAAAGGAAAAATCAGGACCGTGGGGAATAAAGACTTGGAGTTTGGGGCTGTGTAATAAGGTATTGCAAAGTATTATAATTGGACCTCGGGCCGGCCCGTGGCTCACTCGGGAGAGTGCGGTGCTGATAACACCAAGGCCCCGGGTTCGGATCCCATATAGGGATGGCCGGTTTGCTCACTGGCTGAGCGTGGTGCTGACAACACCAAGTCAAGGGTTAAGATCCCCTTACCGGTCATCTTTAAAAAAAAAAAAAAAAGATAATTGGACCTCATACTGGGTCTGAGCTTCCTGGTGGCTAAAGGAAAAAGAGAAATACATATATGTATATTATATTTATACATGCACACACACACACACACACACACACACACACACACACACTCACATATTTACCTGGTCTTGTCATTGTTCATGCATTGAACAATGCATGAACATTGGTTGGTTTATTCACCCAATGGGTGTCAGTCTCTGTTCCTTCACATTACAGCTCTACAGGGAATACCAAGCAGAACCTAAAGAACTGTCCCTTGTGGGCTTCTGTGGGGCCGTGAGAGACACAGAAGTGAATTTGTCTTTGATGGCTGGGTGCATATACATTTCTAGGGTCCTGTGCCTTCCCCTCCTAGCAGTGAAGATGAGGAGGGGATGGGGGAAAGTGGAAACAGATCCCTTGGGTCTGAGTGGCCACCCTGAGTCTGGTCTGGCCTGGGCACTGAGAGCCCTTGTGCACTCTGACCCTTGAGTGTGTGGTGGGAATGGGGGTGTGGGGAGTTTGAGCTGGGGCCCATCTTCTCCTGGGATCCCATTGCTCACCATTCCCAGAGTGTCCTGGTTGTGTCACTGGCAGGGATGATCTGGGCAAGATGACTTATCTTACTATGTGCATCAAGGAGAGCTTTCGCCTCTACCCGCCTGTGCCCCAGGTGTACCGCCAGCTCAGCAAGCCTGTCAGCTTTGTTGATGGCCGCTGTCTACCTGCAGGTGAGATGGGATAGATTTGGGGGTGGAACTGGAGTTCTGTGGATGCTTCTCTGACACCCTCTATGCCTTTAGTCAAATCTTTCCACCAATCAGGAAGAGCTCAGGCTTTGTGTTCAGAAAACCCTGGGTTCAAACTCCACAACACATGGGTAAATTCCTCTATCTCTAAACCTCCATTTCCTCTTCTATAAAGTGAGGATGAGAAGAGCACCTACTTTTCAAGGTTTTTGTCAGGATTAAAGAGACAATATTCATCAGGGCTGTCATGTACCACCATGCAGGTTGTGTCCTGTACAAAGTCAAGGAGCATCATTCGCATAGATATGATGCTGTGCAGTGCACGTCCTGTACAAATGTATGTGGTAGCTTCATAAAGAGTGTTTAGCCTTGTACCTGGTCACCAGGCCTCTGCTCTGCCCACAGGCAGCCTGATCTCTCTGCACATCTATGCCCTCCATAGGAACAGCACGGTGTGGCCTGATCCTGAGGTACCTCAGCCCTGGGTTCAGAGGTCAGACTGGGTGGGGAACTGTGAGGGTCACCCTATGCCAGGACCTGGTGGGTATTTAAGCAAGACCTGTCTGTCCCCTCAGGTCTTTGATCCTTTGCGCTTTTCCCCCGAGAATGTGGCCGGACGCCACCCCTTTGCCTTCATGCCCTTCTCTGCCGGGCCCAGGTAGGGAGAGGCCAGCATCCCCGGGCCCTCAGGATTGGGGAGGTGAGGGTGGAGGACACTGTGGAGGATGTATCATTAATGGAGTGCTCTGGGTAAGGTGGATCAGGCTGGGTTTGTGGTGATCCTAAGGCAAGGAAAGCTCCAGGGACCTTCTTCTTGCCATTATCATATTCCCATCCCTGAGAAGTTGTGGAACGGGAGAGTCAGCCCAAAAGAGGCCAAACCCCCAATGTGAATCTACTCAGTCTGGAGCCCTCAGCATGCTCCCAAGATTTGTTTCTTAATCCCAGGTCAATCAGTCTGTCAGACAGTTATTTATCCAAAAATATTTATTGCTTTTTGTTGGCCAATAAGAGCATTGGATTTCATTACTCTGCACACCCCAGATCCTGATGCCTCCCTGCTTTGCTCACTGCAGGAACTGCATTGGGCAGCAGTTTGCCTTGAATGAGATGAAGGTGGTCACGGCCCTCTGCTTGCTCCGCTTTGAGTTCTCTCTGGACCCTACACGGCCACCTATCAAGACAACACAATTGGTCCTGCGCTCCAAGAATGGTATCCACCTCCACCTGAAGCCACTGGGCCCTGGGTCTGGGAAGTAGCTCTGAAGCCAGACTGCCTGGGCTAGAATCCTGGTTGCACCTCTTATCAACTGGGTGGCCCTGGGCAAGAAGCTACCCTCTTTGTGCCTTAGATTTCCTATCTGTAGTATAAGATTTTTTAAAAAAAATCTTTTTTGTAGGGTTGTTGTGAGAGAAAACATATAAAGTTCTTTGTTCAGTGCCTAGAATATAGCAAGTGCTCACTAAATGTTAGCTATTACTACATAATAAAGAAGAAACTGAGGACATGGGGAGGAAAAGAATCACCGCGAGAATTCAAAGGCAGGCTCTCTGACTCCAGAGCTCTTTGTACTACTGCCCCTCATGCTGTGAGTGAAAACTGGGTGTGAGCCAAGCAGGGAAAGAGGCCCCAAAGTCCCTGGTGAGAGGGGACCAGGATGTAGGGATGGAGAGTAACCACAGAACTGGAGCAAAGTTTGGTGGAATGAGGTGTAAGTAGCTGCATGCCCCTCTTTCCTTGGTTTTAGACAGATAGAAATAAGAAAGAGTTTTTCAGAAACTTGGGCAAAGATCACTCTTGCTGTGAACTGGCAAGGAACTTGGCTGCATTCTGTCCATGCCCTAGGAGTTTGTGGAAAGTGGGACTTAAGAGTTGTGAACCAGAATGTTTGGCAGAAGAAATTTCCAAGCAGCAAATCATTAAGGAAGCTGCATGGCTACTTCCAGCAGGCTATGCTGAGTTATGGTGGCAAAGGCATGACATAAAGCCAGAATTTAAAATGGAAGCAGAGTGTAAAGATTTGGAAAATTTGCAGCCTGTACAAGTGGTAGAGAAGCAGAGAGCATTTTGGGAAGAAAAATTCAATGGTGTTAAGAAGATTAACACAAAGGTACACGATTGTCAAGAGAAGGGGAAACTGGTCTTGATGGTGTTGCAGAAGCCTCTGGGGCCAACCCTTCCATTTCAGGCCCAAAGACATAGGGAGATAAAACGGTCTTGGGGAACAGGCCTGAGGTGCCCTCCATGGGCTTGCTGCCCTGGACCACCTTGGGAAGCTGCTTCCAGCACCAGCACCCCAGCTGCTCTGGTTGCCCCAGCTGTGGCTAAATTGGCCCCAGGTGTGGCGGGACCTTCAGCTTTGGAAAATACAAGCTGGAAGCCTTGGAAGCACCCACATGGTGTTAGGTCTGCAGGCTTGCAGAATGTTAGAGCTGTGGAGGCTTGGAAGCCTCCACCCTGATTTCGGAGGATGTATGGAAAAGTCTGGGGCCCAGGAAAAGATCTGTCACAGTGGTGGAGTCACCACAGACAACCTTCACTAGAGCAATGCCGAGTGGAAACATGTGGTCTGAGTTGTAGCAGAGAAACCCCATTAGCACCATGCCTAGTGGAGCTGTGAGAGTGGGACTGCCATGGAGACCCCAGACCTATGGAGCTGCCAGCATGCAACACCAGCCTATGAGAATTAAAACATCATCTGAGACCAGGAAAGCCATAGCAGCAGAACTGCCTGAGGACTTGGGGACTCAATCCCCACACCAGCATGCAGAGGAGGTTGAACATGGAGTTAAGGTAGATGATTCGCCAGATTTGTGATTTAATGCCTGCCCTGCTGGGTTTTGGACTTGTTTGGGACCTGTTACACCTTTCTTTTGGCCTATTTCTCTCTTTTGGAATGGGAATATGTACCCTATGTTTGTCCCACCATTGTATCTTGGAAGTAGATAACTTGCATTGATTTCACAGATGGGACTTTGAACTTTGGACTTTTGAGTTGAAACAAGCTAAGGCTTTGGGGACGAAAAGAATATATTTGCATGTGAAAAAGATGAGTTTTGGGGGCCGGGGTGGAATGTAGTGAATTGAGTTATGTCCCCCCAAAACTCATTGAAGCTTGAATTGTGTTCCCCAAGTTTTACGTATTAGAAACAGCCTCTACTGTGACTGTTAAGAGGGTGGGAAATCCTATTATGGTAACTGAAAGGTGGAGCTTTGAAGAGATGATTGGATTGTAGGACTGTGCAGTAGTGAATGGATTAAAAATCCTGGTCAGGGGCATGGTTCTGAGGGCTTTAAAAGAAGAGGAGAGTCTGTCTCTCTCTCTCTGCTCTCTTTGCTTCCACCATCTTGCAATGTGAGACCCCTGGGTGACTGTCACCACCACCAGATGGACTTTGGACTTCCCAGCCTCAGAAACTGTAAGCAATAAATGTCATTTTTCTTTATAAATCACCCAGTTTCAGGTATTTTGTTATAAGCAACATAAACAGACTAATACACTGAGACAGTACAAAATAATGAATAATTCTAAAGCAAACTCCCATGTAACCACCACTGAAGTCAAGGAATATGGAATACAGTTTCACAGGTGTGTCTTCTGCCCCTCCTGAAATGTGTCTCTGTAACATGCCTGTCATCATAAGTCTGTGTCTCACAGTCATACAGTACTCCGGGCATTTGGGGTTTGGCCAGGGAAGGTGGCAGAGTGGCATTAGTAGGGGGAATTCCTGGAAGAAAGTAAGCCTCCTCTGAATTAGCTCGAATTAGGCTTTGAGGCATGGGTGAGGTATGAAGATTCAAAGAAGGACTTTTGAGGGAGAGCTCAGGCCAGGGACCACGTGATAGAAGTCGTTCCTTGGCAGTCTCTGTAGCAGCTGCCTGATGGCTGGGGAACAAGGTCTAAGGCCACTAGTGTGCTCCAATTCAGGAATGAGACAGGGATTGAGACTGGTGGGGGTTGGGGGGTGGACAGGAGAGAGTAGTTATAGCCCTGGGACTTGGTTATGTCTCTGTGGCACCCAGGGGGGATGCACTATCTGGAGATATATCCTTTCTGTTCTTGATGCTTCCCCTCTTGGAAGAAGGCCACAGCTCTGACAGGTCTTCCACAGATCATGTGCTCACTCCTGCAAAGTCCTGTCAAGACCCAGACCTTGTCCACATGAGGCTGGGATGCAGAGGTACTAGCCAGGCTGTGCCTCCTAGCTGTCTGACCTGTACCCCATGCCACCAACTTCCCCCTCTATCCTGGCACCTGGACAGACAATTCTCTGCACATGTGAAGCTAAGATTTCAACAGCCATCAGCTGGGAACTAAGCCCAGTAGTGGTAAACACCACGTGCCCCTGGGTGGCACCTGAGTCTAAAATGCATCAACTTCACATAACTCTTTGGATCTTGAGGAGGCCTGTGAGGCTGCATGGGAGGAGACCATTATCCCACTTCAATATTAAGGGAAGGAACCTACAGGATACTCATCTTGGAGGAGCTTGAGCTGAGACCTCTAGCTCTGGCCTCTTTTGACCCCGTCTCCGTCATTAGTATTGACACTCTCTTTGAGAGTGTGTGTTGGTGGAAAACAGAGCTGAGGGCTCTGGTGCCAGAGGAGAGGGGAAGGTCTCTGTGGGAGGGGAGGATGGAGGTTGGGGACTGGTGAGCATCATAGATGGATTCTACTTTATCCTTACAGCTCTCTGAACACACCCAGCTGCCTCCTATGATCCTGGGCATGTGTACAAATGTGTGTGTGTGGAGTGTGGAATGTGTGATGGGCATGTACAGGTGTGGCCATACCCGAGTGTGTATGTGTGTGTCATGGGGGGGTGTACATATGGGTGTGAAGTCAGCCTGGGTCTTGCCCATTGCCTCGCATGAGCAGGGTCACTTCTTGGCCACTCATTCTCCTCCTGTAGAATCCTGTGGTTAGAGCACCTGTCCATGCCTTGCCACCCAAAATCCTGAGCTCCCATTGTCCTGTGCTTTCTGAATATAGCCAGCAAGAGCCCTTCTGCACCATTTGATGCCAGGGGACTTGTCAAGCATCCTGTCCAGGACATTCCCAGCTTACTTTCCTGCCAGCAACCTCCCCCCACCCCCCTAACTGAGTTTCCTGCCTATTTCCTGCCTCTTTTCAGAGCAGATCTCCACTAGCCCAGTAACCTGGGAGGTCAGGGGTCTAGTATGGAAGACCTGCCTATAGGCACTGACTGGTAGAGAAGCTCCTTCAGGAAAGCAGAACATTGCATTACACTGCAAGCAGATGGCTGCATGGTGGTCTGTCTATGGCATCCAGGGCCCTGTGCTAAGAATGGGGAGAGAAGTGGGAGGGACATATTTCCTCAGTTCCAGCAAGAGAAGCATAGTCTGGGTTGAGAGAGGCTGGTGGAAGCAGGGACACAAGCCCAGGGAGCCTGGTGGAGGTGCACAGAGGGCTAAGTGCCAGGAATAGGGCCCAGGGTCATGAGCACCAGCACCAGGAAGTCACCAAGCATGGCAGAGTTGGTGATGCCCCTTCTCCTTCAGGGTGGCCAGCCAGGGAGGCAGCAGACTCCCAAGAGGCTGTCCTTGGGGTCTGAGATCCTCTCCCACTAGCCACACCTATTTGCCCACCTGCCCTTCTCATGAGAACTCTTGAGTGTTCTGAGAGCTGAGTTAGTCCTGAGGGCCTGGTAGGACTACATCTTGAGGGGGAAAAATGCATCAGGGAAAACCAAAGCCTAGGGGGCCAGAATGGACTGTCTCTTGAAGGGAGCTCAGGAATTTCAATTCCTTTTTATTCATCAAATGTTTGTTGAGCACAGTTGGCTGAAAAATCAGAGTTCTGATGGGAGGTGATGATATGGTAAGTATGGTGCTGAGCATGTTGACCTGTTGTTTATTTCACTCTATGGAGCGGCTCGAATCCATGCTGAAGCCTGAGCCCCAGGCCAGTGCCTACTTGAATGACATCCTGGGATATCTACCCTACCCCTAAAGCTGCCATTGCCTAAGCCAGCCAGGGGCAGGTAGTCCTGTTGTGCAGGGGGATTGACTATTTCTCCAGTCCTTCAAGTGTGCTGAAGATTTGGAGGTGGGAAAAGAGGGCTCTGCATCCACCATACTCCTTTTTTCTTGGATAATGAGCAAAGTGTGGATTCAACATGATGCCTGTGTACTCTTTTATACCATCCACTTTTGGGGAACCCTACTCTCACAGTAATCGTCTGAGAGTGTTATTCTGTGTGGCTGTGTCTGATGGCTGTCTGTGGGTCACATGTATTTGGGTAC